AAGCATAATACATTTTTTTTTTAAATTAAATCCTATGTACTGTACAGTTTGAGTGATAATACAGCATTCTAATGCCTTGGTTCATAAACACAATATTTATATCTATCTACCTATCTATCTATCTATCTATCTATCTATCTATCTATCTATATATATATATATATTTTTTTTTTTTTGTAAATTACATTTTATTGGAGTTTCGTTTTGCTTTCTGTTGAGATCAGGTTGTTTTCAGGGGTCCTTTATGGACCATGCGTTGGTACTCGCAGGTACCTTCAATTTTGAGAATGCATTGAGTTCCTGCTCGTGGGCACTGTTCCAAGTAACAGCTTAGGTATTTGGTACGTGCAGGTACCTCAATAATGCATGACAAGATATGAGTGGATTCGCAGATCCCTTCTAGCTGATGTGGATATAAGGCCAACAAACATAATAACTAGTTCACCTGCAAATGGTGCAGGGTTCATTTTGTAGAGCACCAGTGAGTGTCTGCCACAGAGTGGGCAAAGGGGAGTCTAGGGAAGGGATCCTGGAAAATCAGTGTGACAGGGAGCGGAAATCTCCGGACTCCACCGTGAGGATCCATTGCGTCCAGATTGCCATATATGTCTGCTTTTTACCTTCCACTAGCATGGTGAACTCTTCCATGGTGCATAGCTCTTCCATGCACTGGAACCAAGTGGTCATTGAGAATCCTTATAGTGAGTGCTTTCTTGTAGCTCGATGTGCAAATTTTAGTATGGTGTAAGAGTAATGTGGCAGGTTGCAAGGGTGGGGGGTCATCTGAGAATTTATGTAGTATTTTGTGGATATTGGCCCAGTATGGTCTGACTAGGTGGCAGTCCCACCATATATGCAGTCTGTGACCAATGAGTCTATAGCGTGTAGTGTTAGTGGTGTCCCATACCAGTGCACTAGCAGCTTATATGTTGTTTCTTGTATCCCACTGGATAGTGCACAGTGCAATGTCAGGGTGCAAATTTTGGACCACTGTGTGGTTTTCCACTTTTCCATGCAACTTGGGGCGGGTAGTCTCCTGCGTCCCATAATGAATTGGTAAAGAAGTGAGAGTTCCCTCTCCATGGGCTCACGGTCCATACACAGTGCCTCTAAGTCTGTGGTTTCCCTTGAAACCAAGTGTGTCTGCTGTATTGAGGTGATAAATTGTGCTAGTTGTCTGTATCGAAAGTTATGCATGAAGTTCAGTGTGGTGGGGTTTGGGAGGTCCATCAGGGGCTTGATGATACTGTCTTGTGTTGCATGTCTTAGTTGGGGGAGGTTGTGTCCTAGTAGTGTTTGAAATTATCGTGCATCTAGTCCTGGGGGGAAGGCTGTGTTGTGTATGATTGGGAACAGTGGGGACGGGAAGGAAGTGAGCTCCAATTTGGTTGTCAGAAGATGCAATACATGTGTTGTGGCTTTGATAAGTGGGTGTGGGGCTGCTATTCTCACGCAGCGGAGTGGGTCCAGCCAGGGGAGAACTTCTACTAGTCATCCTATTAACACTGTTTCTACCGTCTTCCAGAGTTTGGAAACTCCCTGTTTGGCCCACTCTGTTATTCTGTGGATATGTGTCGCCAGGTAATATTGTCAAAAGTCCGGTAGGGCTAGTCCGCCCTCCGCCTTTGGACGTGTAAGGGTGTCATGGCTAGTCCTGGCTTTGGTTTTGTGCCAAATAAATTTTCGTACCAATGTACGTAGGGAAGCGAAGAAAGCTTCAGGAATGGTGATGGATTTTGTTTGGAAAAGGTAAAGTATTCAGGGTAAGAGTGTCATCTTTACTGTCCATATCCTACCAAACCAGGAGATGCCCAATCTTGACCAGTCTTCTAGGTCTCTTTGAACTCTGGGTATTATAGAATGGAAGTGTGCTTGATAGAGTTGTGTGAGGTCTCTAGTTAACCAGACCCCTAAGTATTTCAGTTTCGACTCTGACCATGTGAAGGGGTATTTGTTTCTTAGCCCTTTCTCTATCTTTCGGGGTGTGTAGATGTTCAGGGTGGTTGATTTCATGTAATTAATTTTGAGATTTGAGATGTTTCCGTATGTTTCAAATTCTGTCATGATTGTCAGAAGAGACAAAGAACAAAGAACAATAAATCAGCTGCATATGCCGCTATAGAGTGCTTGTCCTTTCCCACTTGGGGTCCCTCTATCTGGGGATTGTGTCGCACTGCGTTCAGGTAGGGTTCGAGGGCAAGGACAAAGAGCAGAGGCGAAAGGGGGCATCCCTACCGCGTGCCATTTAGGATCGGGAAGGGTTCCGTGAATGCCCCATTCATGTATATTCTGGCCATAGGGGTCGCATATAGAGCTTTTATCCAGCCTTAAATGTATGGGCTCATTCTCAGAGACCACAGGACCGCGAACAGATAGGCCCAATTGACTCTGTCGAAGGCCTTCTCCGCGTCCGTAGAGAGCAGGAGAAGGCCCTCCGACCACTGCTGCGTGCAGTGAATCAGGGACAATGCTCGGATTGTATTGTCCCACGCCTCTCATTTCGGAATGAACCCTGCTTGGTCCTGATGTACCAGATCGAGGGGAATCATTGAAGGCAGGTGGATAAAATTTTGGTGAACAATTTGAGGTCACAATTTAGTAGGGAGATTGGCCTGTAATTGGCACACTGCTCTGCGTCCCTGCCCTCTTTGGGGATCAGGATGATGTTGTCTGCCAGCGTGTCTCTAATGGAATTGTAGGCTTTGAGAAGATGGGGGAGAAGCAAGTCTGAGAATTGTTTATAGTAGTGTGTGGGGAGTCCGTCTGGGCCTGGGCTCTTGCCCAGTTTTGTCGTCTTACGCGTCCCTGCTAGTTCCTCTATGGTGAGGGGTTCTTCCAGTTCCTGTGCTGCTTCACGAGTGAGGCGCTTGTGTACGTGTCTGTCCATGTATGTTGTCAGGAGGGCGTCTTGCGGTTTGCTCCCCAGTTCTGGTGTGTGTTGTGGGAGAGAATATATCTGTGTGTAGTAATCTTGTGATGTTTTGGCTTTGTCTGCTGCTAGGTATGTCAGTTTAATGTCGATCTGCCAAATCTTAGGGATGTAGGTGTTCACCCTCGTTTGGCAATCATGCAGCCAATAGTGCCCCACATTTGTTTGTATTAGTGTGGAAAAATGTTTAGTTTTGAAGGTATTTCCTTTGGTAGGAAGCATTTAGGATGGTTGATAGCTCTTTCCTGGTGGTTGTCAGTTTGGTCCAGTCATCTGGATGTTGTGTTTGTTTGTGTCTCTCTTCTAAGGTTTGGATCTCTCGTACTAATGTTGTGAAGTGTTTCGCCCTCTCTTTTTTCATCGTCTGCCCCGTCGCTATGAAGTGACCCCTTTCCCGAAAGTAGTGAGTGAGGTGTTCGTTAAAATCTGCTGTCACCAACGGGTCCAATAAGAGTGCCTCATTGAGGCACCACTGTCCAAAAGCTGGTCCGTAGAGGGGGGATAAAAGTGTCATAAGTATCGGGGCATGGTCCGACCACATGTGTGCTTTTTTCAGGTCTGTGAGAAAGTAGTGGGATAAGAAGAAGTAGTCTAGCCTCGAGTACGTTGGGTATGGAGAAGAATGTGTAATCTCGGTCCTCTGGCTATTTTTCTCTCCAACAATCTACCAATCAGTGTTCCCGTAGGCAGGTGTTGATGGAGTTAATAAAGTGGTGGGGTGTTAAGGAAGTGCCTGATGTTGTATCCAGTGAGGGATTCAGCGCGACGTTGAGGTCGCCTCCCATTATGAGGCAGCCCTTGGTGAAGCTCCTGATCATTCCCATGGCTGATTTGAGGAACCGACCTTAGTTCTTGTTCAACATGTAGAGGTTCACTAATCTGTATGTTTGGTCACCCACTCTACCCTTTACACGGATGTATCTTCCCAAGTCATCCTTGAACACTTCAACTGTATGAACTGTAGGGCCCTATGTATCAGTATGGCTACCCCTTTCAATTTTCCCTCTGGGTTATTGCTAAGAAAACATTGTGTGAAGTGGTGGTCTGTCAGTTTGGGAGTCTGGTCTGTCTTGAAATGTGTTTCTTGTATAAAGACTATGTGCGCCCTTTGGCTATAAGATCACTTTTCTGGTGTGCTCAAGCCGTTTGCATTTATGGACATTAGTTTGATCTCCTCTTGTCTATTTGCCCATGCCATCGTGTGCGATGGGGGTGGAGTAGTGCGAGGGGGGGTGGCTGGTGAGTGAAAAGTAGGGTCAAAGGGGGGGGGGGTTCAAAGACCCGGTGTTATACGGTTACTGGGGGTAGGGTTTCCAATGACTCCTCTCCCCGTGTCCAGTCGGGGGACATTTCAGTCTGCAATAAAGTGAGTTTGGGAGAAGTCTCCTCGGAACTAGGGAGAAGGTATCAGGAGGGTGGGCCCAGGGGACCGGCTGGGTCCCCCTCCTACTGTTTGGCCAAGTCGAGTGTCCTTTAACAATAACAGGTTATCAACTATATACATAGCACTGTGTTTCTCATACACAAGGGTCAGAGTCCTCAGAGTGAGCCAGTCTCTGGGTCGCCGAGCCCTCCTGCGGTGGCGATCACTCTTATACCACTACACAAGACGACACAACGTGTCCCATTGGCCCTGGCCACCCTAGAAGCCTCAAGCTGCAGAACTAAGTTGTCCACATTACATTATAACATTGTCCATTTCTCTTTAATGAGACCAATGAGGTTGGATGCATATAGCCCTCTCAAACCCCCCACGTGGTGCCTATGCATCGCTGTCCTCGGAAGCCCTCCTGTCCCATACCATGCTCCTATCTAAGCCTCCCGCCAGTGGTCTGTGGGTGGTCTGCTTGTTTGTTCCCCCCAGCTCCCCATTTCCTCCCTTGTTTAGCAACAATATGAGGTCTGTGAAGCTGGCCCTTGCCAGTGAGGTGGTGCTAGTAGCCTCCTCAATCATCTGTCCCTTCCCTCTCCAGCCTCCAGACCCACATTGAGATATTAGGTTCCCACAACATACATCTATTTATTAGGTTTATCAGAACGTGTTGAAAGACAGTTTTCTTCCCTCGCCCACCGGTGCGTCCTTTCCCACCGCATGGGGCCCGGGTCAGTCGTGGTCCCCTGCTGCCGGGTGGTAGTGGTGCGGGTTACATCCATGGGTCGCATGGATTCCATCCAGTTCCTGTTCCTCCTTAGTGGCAGTGCCTGTTCCGGTGGTTCAGGTGTTGGGCAGTAAGAGTCCAGGGGGTCAGGACAGCGCATATTAATAGGTGGCAACTGTAGATAGTTTGAGACACCATTAGGTCTTGATGATAGCGTAGCAGATGTGGCCCTTCTGGCGTAGAGATTCCCAGTCCCATTGGGAATAGCCAGTGGTATCGGATTTTCTGTGCTACCAATAAACCGATGAGGGGTTTGAGGGCCCGTCGAAATCCCAATGTGGCAGGGCACAGGTCAGGGAACAGCTGTAGGCTATGGTCATCGTATATGATTTCTTGTGAATTCTGGGCAGCCTGTAAAATGTCTTCTTTGAGGGTGAAGTGAGCTAGGCAGCAGGTCACGTCTCTCGGTGGGGCATCTGGTGGTCCCCTGGGTCTCAGTGCCCTGTGAGCTTATACAAAGTCTATAGGAGTGTATTCTGCTCTGTTCAGTAGCCTATTAAATATGCCAATGAGCTGTGTCTTGAGTTGTGTGGTAGAGTCTTCCCCCTCTGGTATGCCCCGTATGCGAAGATTTTGGTGCCTTCCTCTGTTGTCGAGGTCCTCAATATGTAGCGCCATGTGTTGCAGTTGGGACATCTGGAATCTAGAATATAGAAAAATCATAAATAATACATAGTGTAATACAGTAATGAAAAACACCCCCATGAGTATAAAGTAAAAAATATCACAAACAAACTCAAAAAAATTCAGGGTCATCACCCTTCCAAAGTTACTGGAATGTAGATCTTCTATGTAGGATGTTTCTTAGTAGAAATATGAGAAGGGCAAAAAGGCCACAATAGGGAAGTAAATTAAAGACAATTAAAAATGTATTGTATTGCACTTACAGAAGATTTAAAATAGTAGGCATATCTCCACATGTAGGGGAACTCCAACAGGGTCACAGTCCTGAAGAACGAAGAACAAGCAAAATCCTTCAAGTTCAAGAGATAGCAACAATTTACAATAAAAACAAATAAAAGTATACAAATAAAAGTCACAAAGTAGAATATGGCAATGCGTTTCATGGGACTTCCTCAGGGATGTATATTCCTTCTTTGCACGGAGACGTCTTAAATAGGCTGGTAGTGATGAGGAATCCAATCCATGTGTTCGGCGTGCATTTCGGGTTGAACAGCAATGACGCATTTCCTGTGCGTCTGGTGTACACTGCTGTTGATGACTGACGTGCACCGGCCAAGAAACCTAAACGGGGGCTGTATGGGGACAGAAAGTCAAGAGCAAGAAAGGCAAAATCTCCACAACTATGCCACCAGAATAATGTAAAAAGGGGGACTATAACATGTAAAAGAATATGTCTGATGTACAAAAATAAAAAAAATAATAAAAAAAAGAAAATGAAAAGAAAAATGGAACAAAATAAGTGAAAAAATAATAGAAAAAAGTTAAATAAAAAAGACTTGAAAATATAAAATATAAATAATTATAGTAAAATACAAAGAGTTTAATACAAATAATTATGAAATAAAAATAATAATAAAAAATGAAAAAATGAATGTTAATATAAATTAATATAAAATTAAAAATAAATATAAAATAAAGAATGAAAATAGGAAAAAAAGGAAAATATGACAAAAAATATAAGTAATCCCCTAGGTAAAAAACAAAACAAAAAAAAAAAGGTATAATTTCATACTGCAATACTCTGGTATTTTGGCATATTATAGATGCATTTACCCATTTATTGCATTTAAAGGAAAAACTTTAGCCACCATCAACTTTAGCTTAATGAAGCGTTTTTTTGTGTATTGGTCATGCATCTGAGGTTTCACTGCTCAACTGACCACCATTTAGACGTTAAATCACTTTTATTTCTCTTTATGCAGCCCTAGCCACACCTTTCCTGGTTATGACTGACACAGCCTACATGAAAAGAAAATGGTTTCATTTTCAATCATATGTAACTTACTTTAAAAGTTTTTATCTCCTAACTTCTAACACAGGAGGCTCCAGAGCAGAAGTTAAGAAATTCTAAATTAAACTGAATTTGTAACAAAGGAAGCATAAACATTAGATGACTCTTTACAGGAAGTGTAGAAAGATTGACTAGGGCTGCATAAAAAAGTGATTTAACTCCTAAATGGCAGAAAATTGAGCAGTGAGACTGCAGGGGCATGATATATATACCAAAACTGCATCATAAAGCTAAAGTTGTTTTGGTGACTATAGTGTCCCTTTAAACTTCTGCCCATTGGAGTGGTCTGGGTGTCAACTCCCATCACCCTTAACCCTGCAAGTGTTATTATTGTAGTTTTTATAAACTGCAATAATTACCTTGCATGTTTAAGTCCTCCTCTACTGGCTGTCTATCAGACAGCCACTAGAGGGACTTCCGGCTTCTTAGAACACGAAAAGTGTTTTAAATTACGCTAGACGTCCTCACGCTATGTATGAGAACCTCCAGCATTTCCGGAAGGAGGTCTAATGTGCGTGCGCAGCTGACGTCGGCGGGGGAGGAGCTTGGGGACATCGGGGACATCGGTGCTGGATACAGGTAAGTCACTGAAGGGGTTTTAAACCCTTCAGCAACATGGGATGGGGGGCGGGAGAGAGGGGTCCAGTGCAGGATCCTGCAGTGCCAGGAAAACGGGTTTGTTTTCCTAGCACTCGAGAGTCCCTTTAATTGTGAACAAATGTATGCAGCCAACTCTTTATTCCTCTTTTATTTCAAACAACATAATTGTGGTACATTTATCACAGAAAAGAGTTTAATTTGATAAAAATGTTTTCCATTAGCTTAATTTTTTTGCATTTTTATAGTAATAAGCCAGTATATGTTTTTTAAAAAATGTATGATGGATCCATTTTGCATAAATATTTATGCTAGAAAATCCAACTAGATTACAATTAATGTATTATGCAAGAATAAAAAACAGCCTTTACTATCTATCACGGCAACAAACCATTCCTTCTAAACTTAGAGTCTAAGTGACCGAGACAGTATATTTGGTAATTGATTAAATTAAGAGGTGTGTAAACCATGTTTCTTGCGAGTCTGAATTATAGAAAGCGTGCCACCTGCAATCATTTCTTACGTGTAATTTGTTTTTAATAATAAGTAGGTGTTTGAATACTGGTTGTCAAGATTGCTCATATTCACAAATTAAATATTTTTGCACTGAAACATTACTTTGTATCTAGGTGTGACCATGTTATATATTCATTAAATAAAGGTTAACCTCTTGATGGACATTTTACTAGTGCTGATTGTAGATTGTAGCTGTTATAGAGCAATTTAATAGCTCGGTGATTTTACTGTACTCTACACCAAAAAGTCTAAAAATATGATGCATATAGAAAGGTTTGATATAAAGAATTGTGTTTGCTTCAAACTTCTATAAGGGAGATATCAAACTGATATGTTGCTCTGTAAGGTCTAGGCTTAATTCAGTGGAAGCCCGTGCACCATGCCTTACTTTTCATCATTCTGAAATACATGTTAGTAATAATCAACGGAGCTTAAATTAAATTTACTAAATCTATCTTCATTAAAAACTGGAGGTTTTTTAGTATCCAACTGCCATTAAAGTGTAAGCTCACCTGCCATGTCAAGGCAAACCTCTTAGTTTAGTCCTACACTGACCATTCACTTTACTTCTATCAGTTAAAAGGCAAAATCTCAAATGAGACAGAAAGAGGTATTTTTCTAAACCCTTACACACTTGTTAATCCTTAATAAGGTACACAGCTCTGTAAAATTTCACTGTATAATACAAAATCATATACAAACACAGACAATTAAGCACTGCACTCAAACTCCCACTAGAGTGACTTTTTCTCAGTTTTTATTTTATGTATTGGGGCATAGAAACATAGAAACATAGAAACATAGAATGTGACGGCAGATAAGAACCATTCGGCCCATCTAGTCTGCCCAATTTTCTAAAAACTTTAATTAGTCCCTAGCCTTATCTTATAGTTAGGATAGCCTTATGCCTATCCCATGCATGCTTAAACTCCTTTACTGTGTTAACCTCTACCACTTCAGCTGGAAGGCTATTCCATGCATCCACTACCCTCTCAGTAAAGTAATACTTCCTGATATTATTTTTAAACCTTTGTCCCTCTAATTTAAGACTATGTCCTCTTGTTGTGGTAGTTTTTCTTCTTTTAAATATAGTCTCCTCCTTTACTGTGTTGATTCCCTTTATATATTTAAATGTTTCTATCATATCCCCCCTGTCTCGTCTTTCCTCCAAGCTATACATGTTAAGATCCTTTAACCTTTCCTGGTAAGTTTTATCCCGCAATCCATGAACCAGTTTAGTAGCCCTTCTCTGAACCCTCTCTAAGGTATCAATATCCTTCTGAAGATACGGTCTCCAGTACTGTGTACAATACTCCAAGTGAGGTCTCACCAGTGTTCTGTACAATGGCATGAGCACTTCCCTCTTTCTACTGCTAATACCTCTCCCTATACAACCAAGCATTCTGCTAGCATTTCCTGCTGCTCTATTACATTGTCTGCCTACCTTTAAGTCATCAGAAATAATCACCCCTAAATCCCTTTCCTCATATGTTGAGGTTAGAACTCTATCAAATATTCTGTACTCTGCCCTTGGGTTTTTACGTCCAAGATGCATTATCTTGCACTTATCCACATTAAATGTCAGTTGCCACAATTCTGACCATTTTTCTAGTTTACCTAAATCATTTGTCATTTGGCTTATCCCTCCTGGAACATCAACCCTGTTACATATCTTAGTATCATCAGCAAAAAGACATACCTTACCATCAAGACCTTCTGCAATATCACTAATAAAAATATTAAAGAGAATGGGTCCAAGTACAGATCCCTGAGGTACCCCACTGGTGACAAGTCCAAGCTTCGAATATATTCCATTAACTACAACCCTCTGTTGCCTGTCACTCAGCCACTGCCTTACCCATTCAACAATATTGGAATCCAAACTTAAAGATTGCAGTTTATTGATAAGCCTTCTATGTGCAACAGTGTCAAAAGCCTTACTGAAATCTAGGTAAGCAATGTCTACTGCACCACCCTGATCTATAATTTTAGTTACCCAATCAAAAAAATCAATAAGATTAGTTTGG